CCCCTTCCGCCGCCACAAGCGCGTCCGGGGCGCGGGGCCGGGCCAGCGGGGCCGGGCCGACAGGGCCGCACCGCCCGGGGGCGGGGCCGGCGGCGCTCCCCTGCCCGTGCCAGCGCCAGGGAGCCGGTCCTGGGAAATCGGGGATGTTCTGGCGGCCGGGAGGGCCGGTGGCTTCCTGGTGTTGTGCATCCAGCACAACCTGTGGCCAGCAGGTCGAGGGAGGTGTCCCTGCCTCTCTGCTCAGCCCTGGTGAGGCCACACCTGGAGTGCTGTGTCCGGTTCTGGGCTCCTCAGTGCAGCAGGGACATGGAGCTGCTGGACAGTACCTAGGGGAGGGCAACAGAGATGATGAAGGGACTGGAGCATCTCTCTCATGAATAAAGGCTGTGGGAGCTGGGCCTATTTAATCTGGGGAAGGGAAAAGTGAGAGGGGATCTCACTAGTGCCTATAAATATCTCAAATGTGGGTGCCAAGAGGATGATGCCCCGCGACAGGACAAGGTGCAGTGGCCATAAAATAAAACAAAACAAGTTCCACCTTAACATAAGGAAGGATTTCCTTGCAGTGAGTGTCAGAGGACTGGAACAGGCTGCCCAGGGATGTTGTGGAGGCTCCCTGTCTGGAGACATTCAAAATCCACCTGGACGTTGGACGTGTTCCTCCCTGAGTGATTTGCTCTAGGTGACCCTGCCTTGGCGGGGGTTGGACTAAATGGTCTCCAGAGGTTCCTTCAAACCCTGACAATTCTGTGATTCTGTGATCTCCCCATGCAGGCCCATTCTGGCACATGCTGGCAGCCTGTCTGTGTGCCTGGCAGTGGCTCACAGCAGCAGGGCCAGTGCAGAGGGGGACATGCCCGGCAGTCTGTGCCCTCTGGCTGGCAGCACATCAGGGTTCTGTCCCACTGCGTGGGATCAGAGGTTCACCTCGGAAGGGACCTTAAAAATCATCTTGTCCCAACTCCTTACCGTGGGCAGGGACACCTCCCCCTAGACCAGGTTGCTCAGAGCCCCAACCAATCTGCACATGGCTGTGTCATGTTGCACTTCTCATCAACTAAGACTCCCAAGTCCTTCTCCTTAGGGCTGCTCTCAGTCTGTTCTCTCATCCTTCAGTGCATTGTAGGCATTGGAATAGGTTTCCCAGGGAGATGATGGAGTCACCATCCCTGGAGGTGTTTAAGAGGTGTCTGGATGTGGTGCAGAGGGATGATTTAGCGATTACAGTGATAGTGCTGGGTTGATGAGATAGGCTTAAAGGTCTCTTCAAACCCCAGTGATGCTATGATCTGCTAACCTCTGCCTGCCTTTGTTCTCTTTTTTATTAAAAAGGGTGAGCTGCTATGCTGTCCAGGTCCCCAAATCATCAGGCAACTAAATCTATCAGTGTTCAAGAGATACTGTACAAAAGCCATGGGCAGGGAGGCTCAATGCAGGCACCAAAGCAAGTCTTCATATTCTTCTGACCCATTAGATAATGAACTGTAATATATTACCCTCTGAAAAAGCCACAGAAGGTCTGTGGCTTACTCTGCTTCCATCAGTTAGGTAAACTGTTATTGATGGAATTCAAATCCTTGAATATTTATCAATTACTAAGGCAATAAAAATGTCGGCTTGACATATGTAGATGAAAAACAAGACTTAGAATGTATAATAAAATGCAGTTAATTTTATATTCTGTGGCATGAAAACAAGAGGCTGACCCTATAAAAGACTGGAGCAAAACGACATCTCCAGGAAAACATTGCTGCTTGGCAAGTGTTTACTTGATATGTTGTTCCTTTATTCAATTCAATTATTTCCAAATGCCTCCTCTTAATGATACAACATTTCAGCCTTTACTATGTGGCCTTCAGAAGTATAAATCTAGTAGTTACATAATCTGCCCATGAATATCAGAGTGAGAACTTGAAAACATTTGAGATGATAAAATGTGAGTGCTGTAAGACTCCTTCTCTTTGATCTGCGTTATTGCCTCAGTCAGAGCACAGACTGAAAAGGAATAGGATTGCCAACCTCCTGACTTCACTGCCAGGAATATAAATCAACATTAAAGATGATTTCTAAATGAAATAGCAAGTTAAACATTTGTAGAAACACATCATCAAATAGAGGTTACTGCCTCTTTTTAAACCTCTTGCCTGTTGGCAAAAATAAAACTGTTCCAGTGACATTTTCTCTGTTCTGCTGTGACACGGGCTGCATAAATATAGACACTGTGGATTAGAATAGACTTCAACAGTCTTCAACTTTCTTTTTAGCAGCCTCTTCTGTAGACAGTTCTCAGTAGCTATGGGTAAAACCCAGGGAGTCTGAAACTGGCATGTGTGGCAAGGTGCTGACAGTGTCGCATGCCTCTGATGGCAACAGTCATAGCTGACCTTGAGGAAAAGTTATCCTGGCTGGAGGAATGAGAGAGAGTGAGAATTTCTGACCCTGGCTCCGATTCAGATTTGGCATGTGGGCTAGGATAAGTCATGTTCTTTGAGATCTTTGATGGCATGTGCAGTGCAAATGCAGATTTTTCCTTCAACTTTGCCTAAAGAAAGCAAGGAGTGTGATGAACTGTAATGCCAGCCTAGATAATTCTGGTACTTGCTTAAAGAGTAGTCACTCGTGACTCCAGCAGAGAAGTTGCTGGTGCCAAACTGATCAATGTCACTCAGAATCAAACATAGGGTGGGTTTTTATCTCTCTAGAAAAACAACAATTTGTCATGGTATAATCTGACTGATTCTTTCCCATTTTATGCTTTATATTCTAGGCTGAGCCCTTCTTCACCTTCAGGAAGTGAGGAGATGGCTGCTCACTGCCAAAAAAGTGCAGCCAGGTTTCTGGCACACACTGAGCAGGCAAAGGGCTGGTGTCTGAGGTTGGCAAGGGTGAGGCTTCTTCAAGTGCAACGCGGCGCCTCTAGTCAGTCATCACTCGAAAAAGTCACAGAAGGGCAGAGGGGGGCAGCAGATGAAATGTTTGCAAGGTAAATATCCTCTTGGCACTAGATTTTCTACGTGAGTTGCTGTAATTAACGCATACAAAATCCAAGGCTGGAAACAAGAGAATAACACTAAAGCCTGGGAAAAGCTCCACATGTCCTTCCTGGTTTCCCACAAAAAACAGGCAAACAGCTAACTAAGCCAAAAAAATGCAGACAGATTGGTGGACATAGCTTTTAAACAGCCAGGCTACTTTCTCCTCCCTTCTTTCCATTTCTCAGTGTGTTAGCACTTAGCAGTGTTCTGCTGTCCACAGTGTTAAACAAACACTCATGGGCACCATTGTGCAACTCACTCATCCCAGATAACAGATGGATTTTTACATTCTTTCTGCATATTTGAATCCATTATCCCAATAGGGCCAGAAGAAAGTGGGCATTAGCTTAATGCAGTTCTGAAAGAGGAACTGTTCAGGTCAGGAGAGCGGGAATTATGGAAAGAGCCATCTGAAGTGCTAAATCACTTTGAGGCAGTGACTAAATCCATTTCAGCTGCTGGTCTGTTTGAAGTGGCCTTTAGCCTAGTTCTTAGGTGTTATAATCTTGTTAGAAAAGGTGGAAAAGCAATGGGCTTGAATCCTTCCCTTCCTACCTCCAGAACTTGGTCCCCTTAAATCAGATGTGGGGCACTCTGGTGTGGTTAGGGCACAGCTCTGTTTTCAGGGATTTACCTGCACCCTGCTTATTCCTTCCAGAGCATTGGTCTCTGGATCTGTTCTGGAGCTCCTTTCCCCTGCACTGACGTCATTCATATGTAAGGGGGGAAGAACAAAGACAGCACTCGCCTGTTTCTTGTGTGATTTTTCAATACCCATTTCCCAATCCCGGCATCCACAGTAACAACATCCTTTCAAAACGCCTCCTCTTGAAATGCCACTGTAGTCAAACAGCTGCAAATCAAAACACCTTGTAAACAAGTGACTGAAATCCCGTGGGATGCCTGAGGGCTTGGGCACGTCTCAGAGTGATTATAGTTCCTGCTATACAAATTGGAGTCCATGTAGCACAGTTTGTGCCAGCTACGAGCTCTTGCTTTTTATTTTTAGCCCTGGTTGTCGAGGGGTTCTCATAATAAAAAGAATGACGTTCGGTATCAGTGACACACAGATAAAATTAGATAGTAGCCGGAAGTGATCCTACAACTAATCCTCCCCATTTTTTCCACAAGCTTTGGGATCCTGTGGGCCTTAAGGACAGCTTTTCTCTGTGTGAATTTCACTTCCCATCAGCAGGCAGCTGAAAAATTGAGCTTGCATAGGACTTGTGTGCAAAAGGAATGAATGTCATTGTCAGTGCTTATGCCAACAGCTGGGACCATCTGGGACACCAAAGACAACAGTGTCTAGATGTGTACAGCTAATCACAGAGGTTGTTTTTAGCAAGCCTTGAAACCTTCTTCCCTTTTTGGGGCAACAGAACAATGTTTTTGTCTTCCATGCGTGGAGTTTTGTGCACAGAGCAGCTTAAGTCATCAGGGCTCAGTCCTGGAAGTGATTAGTCCCCCAGACATAGGATACTCGCACTGATGCTGAAGATATTATTCCTTTCTTTGGAAGAAGCTGCCTAGGGGAAAGACAAGATAGAAGATGCATTAGCTTACATCTCTAAAGTAAACATTCTCTCAGGAGAGCAGGATCAGTTCTCATTTGTTTTGGCACTTTTTTCCCCCCTTCTAAATTTTGGATTGCTTTTGTTTTTACTTCACTGTAAAAGAAGAAAATACAAGAGGTTGACTGGTCAGCAGATTCTCTCTATTGCTTATAAACATTGAATTCAATCAGACAGTGTACCTGAGGCACCTTCAAAGGAAAGTGCAATTGTTTGCCGTGTAGCACAAAGGATTTAGCTGTGGTATTAGGGAAAAGAAAGAGTGCCAAGAGTGCAAGGCCAAGTACTTTTAAGCAGGGTAGGTAAAAACAAAGAGAGAAG